AGGTAGATACACAGATAGATAGATAGATAGATAGATAGATAGATAGATAGATAGATAGATAGATAGATAGATAGATAGATAGATAGATAGATAGATAGATAGATAGATAGATAGATAGATAGTTAGAGATAGATAGATAGATAGTTAGAGATAGATAGATAGATAGATAGATAGATAGATAGATAGATAGATAGATAGATAGATAGATAGTTAGAGATAGATAGATAGATAGATAGATAGATAGATAGATAGATAGATAGATAGATAGATAGATAGATAGATAGATAGAGTGCGAGCATAAGTCAAACAAGCCAACCCCCGCCTCTCTACCATGTTCTGATGCTGAGATATAGCTGCTGTTATATCGTTGCTAGGTTAGTCTGTTTTGTTGCTATGGAGTTGATTGACAGCTTAGACTGATGATGTATCAAAGCTTCTTGCCAGTATGAACAGTTAAAAACAACCCCCATGTCTCTATCACACTGCAGCATGACAATATCAGTCTGAACCTCTTTAATTGCAGTCTATGGGACAGTTGCTAGGGTGCAGTATCTGGTTGTTAGGGTGTGGCTAGAAAGTTAAAAGGCCATCGGTGATTGGCTGCTGGCTAGACTGAGTTAAATAAGCTCAGCCATTAGTCTGTAGGACAGTCTGATGCAGAGTTATGAGCTCACAAAGTTTGATCCCATGTAAAGTCAATGAGAGTCTTTTGCAATGGAAGTCTATGGGACAGTTTCTAGGGTCCAAAAGTGGTTGCTAGGGCGTGGCCAGAAAGTTTAAAGGTGATCAGTCATTGGCAGTTTGATAGTCTAAGTTAAATGAGCCCAGTTAGAAGTCTGTGTGACATTCTGATGCGGAGTTATGAGGTCACAAAGTTTGATCCAATGTTACGTCTATGGGATTTTTCCGACGGTCCCGGGACGTTTTTCGGGAAACCGAAAGTCGGATCAGTCGGAAAGGATATAGCAACTCGAGTCAGAATAGTTCGGAGGTCTGACCCGAGTTTGATGGTCATAGCTTGAAAGGTCTAGGTGGAGATAGAGTTTAATTTTTAGTCTCAGAAGAAGAATAATAATATAAATAATAATAATAATAATAATAAGTTTAATAGGATAACAGTAGTCTGGCTTGCTACACAAGCCAGCCTAATTAAAGCATTTCATTCCAGGGTTTTTTTTTGTAGCTCAGCAATGAAACAAACAAACAAAGGATTATGTTCAAATGGAAATGATGATCTCTGTCAAAGACATTCACCCCAACCTAGCACAAGACAGAATTACTGTAGTTGTTGTTACCATGGCAACTGTAGAATCACCACAACAGATCAATTACTGTAGTTGTTGTTACCATAGCAACAGTAGAATCACCACAACAGATCAACTACTGTAGTTGTTGTTACCATGGCAACTGTAGAATCACCACAACAGATCAATTACTGTAGTTGTGTTACCATAGCAACAGTAGAATCACCACAACAGATCAACTACTGTAGTTGTTGTGTTACCATAGCAACTGCAGAATCACCACAACAGATCAATTACTGTAGTTGTTGTGTTACCATAGCAACTGTGGAATCACCAAAACAGATCAATTACTGTAGTTGTTATTACCATGGCAACTGTAGAATCACCACAACAGATCAATTACTGTAGTTGTTGTTACCATAGCAACAGTAGAATCACCACAACAGATCAACTACTGTAGTTGTTGTGTTACCATAGCAACTGCAGAATCACCACGACAGATCAATTACTGTAGTCGTTGTGTTACCATAGCAACTGCAGAATCACCACGACAGATCAATTACTGTAGTCGTGTGTTTTCATTTTAGCTGTTCGATGTTGATCTTCAATAAATAATCAGTGTGTGTTTCCTTCAATTATTGTAAAATTTAACATTTGTCTGTAAACTATGACAAAAAACACAAATAAATAAAATAATCGTTGATTAATCGTAATCGAGTTAAAGGCCAGCCATAATCTTGAGGTTGTTCCGTATGATGCAGTTTGATTGGATACCGATACAGCACTAAAGATGAACTCAAGTAAAAGTACACGTTTTTATAAACACTTCCAGAGAAAACCTCCTCAACAGTCATGTGAGTGTGTGTATTCCCACAGCATGCTATAGTTTGTATTGTGCACCATGCTACTCTGAATATTGGGTTTGAAATGGCAGGTATTTATGACTTCAGAACAACATTAGAGACTGTGGACCATGCACATTACATTAGTCAGTCTGAATGTGTGAATATTAAACCAGCCTCATCCTAATGCTCAATCTGGCAACTTATAGAGCAGGCGTAGCGCATCATGTCAGCTTCAGATGAGCAGCAGAACCGCCACCTTCAATATTTAAATGAGTTTTAAAATGAAGCTGTTTATTAGAGCTGTAGCTCATCACATCTGAAGGTGACACGATGTGCTGGCCCTGTCTGTACACCCTTATTTCAGCTTATAGTTCACTTCTGGCGGACATCAAGGCTGATATGATGCTCGAG